GCTAAACAGGGCACACACATTTCAACAGAGGAGGGCTTGAACTTGTACTACCCAACCCTAGCTCGGCAAAGGAGCACTCCCCGAGCCCAAGTGAAGGCCTGGGGTGGTGACAGGGCAGTGCTGGGCGGAGGGGGCTCAGGCCTCCAATTCCTATCATTCCAAAGGTCCCATAAAAAGAGGCACACTCATGCTTCACCTCGCTGTGAAACTGGAGCCCCCTCCTTCCCCATTATTGTACCATAAATCCCGGGTGAGGATGAAGGCCGAGTTTTGGTGACTTCTGTAACCTGGGGCCCCGGGCAGCCCACATTCTCCTGCAAGTCAGAAATAATCAATCCACATACTCTAGTGGGTGTGGACCTCTGCAAACATGAAAAAGCCGGGAGCTGGAGGGTTGGGGGGGAAGGGATGGAGTGAGGTAGGCTGGGCAGTGAAGCTGACCACCACCCCAGCTTTCCTGAGTGGCCTGGCCTCCGGTACGGCCTGGCAGTGTGGGTTGGGAGTGAGGCCCTTTTCCTAAAACACGTGATAGCTGCTCCGACAAATCTCCGAGGCCAAGAGAAAGGAAAAGGGCATGAGGAACGGAGCTGAGGGCAGAAAGAAACGGGGTCCATGGGAGAGGAGAGGCAGCTTTGGCCTCCCGCTTGGCTCACTTGGTTAGGGTGGAGGTCCTCTGCGAGGAACCTTAGAATGATGCAGAAAAGAATGAGAAAGGGCCCCTGGGATGGCCCAGCCCAGTTTCCTCACTGCACAGAGGGGAAACTGAGGATGGGCAAAGTGATGGGACGGTCTCGGCTGCCGACGTCGCCTGCTTTGGTGTTCTCCCACCAGCTCAGGCTCTGAGTCCTCCACCCACATTGCTCAGCAAAGAGTCCAGTGCCTGGTACATATCTCTTGACTCATTTATGGGGTGACAGGTAGGGACAGCTGGTTCATAGGTGACAACGGTGGCACAGTCAAGGCATCTCTGGAGTAGCTTCCTAACAGTGGTGCTCAACCTGCTGCATGGTAGACTCAACTGGGGAGTTCTTTTAAAAAGGATGCCCAGGCTCATCCCTGGAGAGTCTCGTTTAATGGCCTGGGGTAGGGCCCCTGCTGGTATGTTTTAAAAGCTCTTCCTAATGCGAGTCTGATGGACAGGTAGGCTGAGAACCTTTCTTCATTGGTGTGAAGAAAACAGTGACTGAAACTCAATATTCCCAGGCTGCAGCCCCACTTCTGACAATCACACCGATAAAAGGCTATATGCCTCAGTTGGCCCGTCTATGAAACTGACCCATCACCTACAAACCATCAGTCACCCAATGCCTTGTTCCTGGGCCAGCAGCACCTGGGAGCTGGTTAGACATGCAGAATCTCAGGTTCCACCGAGACCTACTGAACCAGGATCTGCATTTAAGTAAAATCCCAAGTGATGCATACCCACGTTCAAGTTTGAGAAACTGATCTAATGCACACACAGACTTTCAAGTAAGTAGAATTTTACTTATAAGAGTATCTTTCAAGTAAGTAGAATTTTAAGTATCTTTCAAGTAAGTAGAATTTTACTTATAAGAACGCTACTAAGAAAAGAACCACATCTAAGGCAAAAAGACTCAGTTTAGATGTAAAAATTGAAGGTCATTTTTGAGCTGTGGGATTGGTGACAGGGGTCCACTGAGACCCCAGGGTCTCTGGCATCATCAGAGCTCTTGAGAGCAATGCTTCTGGGTTTCTTGAGTGGACAATGCTGAGCCAGGTTGGGAAGGGTTAAAGGTCCTTTAGCGTCCCCCGGCCCATTTCTCTCTCTATGGGAGCTGTACTCCAACTTGACAGGCAGTCCTCACACTTCTGCCAAGAGTGTCCTCTACATCAGAGCCTGCCCCCCTCCCCGCAGGCTGCCAGTTCCCACTGCTGAAGCCCAGGCACCAAGAGTGGTTGGCCAAGGAGAGCAACATCCAAAGACACAGCTGCTGGGAGCTGTGTTTAGAGGACACTTCACACCCCAGCCTCTTTGCAGCCAGCCTCACTAAGCTAGGTCTCAGAACTTGTATGTGGAGGCAGCAGCCAAACCTGGCCACATGAGGGGCATCTCAGAGGCCACCAAACTGAAGCAGGGGCTGGCTGGGGATCCAGTGACCGTGGGCCTAGAGGAGACGAAGCTGAGCCTGACCCTTAGATGGAAAAGGGGAGCGAAGGGCTCTGGGGACTGGACCCAGCACTGTCCGCCAGCAAAGGGATACAACTCAGGTTTGTCAGGAAATGCAAGCAGGTGAAAAAGACATCCCTGTGGGTGTTAGGAAGGAAAGTGGGGTTTAATGAGCCATGCTCTCCTTTTCTGTACCTGTGAGTCTGGGTTGGTATGTGGCCATGAATTATGTTGACTGGGAAGCCTAGTCTAACCTATCACTTCCTGAGCTGCAGCGAGGAGCAGCAGGGCCTGAAGAGGCCCCATCAGACACGTGGTGTCGGCTTCCTCTGGGCCTTGTAAGCAGTGGGTCTGCAGGGAGCTCAGCGGGCAGCCTCACGCCAGCACTGAGTCCCACGGGAGCCAAAAGGGTCTTGAACAGCACCCAGCAGGCCTGAGAGCCCGGCTCAAGCCCTCTGGTTATGCCTCCAAGGGGCTCCCTCCTCAGCGTCCACAAAAGCTGGGGCTACAGGTGGTGTAGAGAGGGTCAGTGAGGCCTATGGGGGACATTTAGATTTCTAAATACCTGAACCCACCAATGCTCCGCCCAGGCAGATGGCAGATGTGGGAGTGATAGCTGTCCTCTGCCCCAGAGACACGGTGGCACCAGTAGGGTTGACATACCTATACTTAGCCACATGATGGGGTAAATAAACAGGTTTCTGAGGACTAGGGGGACCCAGGACTGTTTCATGTCAGTGGCCGGGCCTGGGGACAGTGAGAAACAAAGAGGCTCATGTGGGGCCACTCACACCTCAGTAAGCCCCCCAATTCAGCGCGCAAATCGCAAATCGTAAGGTCCACTGCTGGGTATCAAACAACTGAGCACTTCCCAGCGGGAGCTGCAGAGGACGAGCTCCAGTTGGAGGCACGAATCCAGTCGAGAAACGTTTCCCAGCTTTCAATTTAGGGCTCTTTCTTTGTCCTACTGTTTGCCAAACTGTGTCTCCTAGCATAGTAATTCCACGAGAACTTCCTAGCTGGGGATTGTAAAGAGAACTTCGCCGAGTTCAACGCAGCTAAACAGGTTCCCTTCCTGCTGTCCTAAGCCAGTCTGCTCTGTGGCTAATGGAGAGGCCAGTGTGGGACCACAGAGACCCTTTCTGAGCTGAGCATTTGCCAGGACTGATGTTCTGCCCGACACTGTGGGCAAGGCCGCTCACACCACGGGTCTTTGGAAGAAATGCCTGACCTAGGCAGGGTCCTGGGCAGCCCCTGAGGCGAGCTGCCCTTCCTGGCTGGGTGTGTCTCTTTCCACACCGTGTGTCTGTCCGCCACTGGCTCCGACCAGGTGACTTGGAGCTGGTTAGCCATTGTCTGGAAGTCTTGCCCTATCCTGGCCTTTCCGAGAAAAGACAAAAGCCCCGGCCAAAGGCTGCTCCTGACCCTAACCCCCCAGTGCCTGGCGGTACGTGGCAGACAGGCTTCTCCTCGCTGTCACCCTCCACACTCTCCCAGGACATTCCGGCCCGTGAGGAACATGCCCGATGTGCAAATCCCTCAGGTAATGCGGGAATTCGTCACCAGGGGAGCGCGGACGATCCAGGAATGGGAACCTGATCGGGGCCTGGAGCTGGAGAGACGCAGCAGGCGGGCCAGCGAGGGCTCAGGTTGCAGGGAGCAGAAGGCGAGAGGAGCGCGGGGGTGGAGCCCTGTGGGAGCATGTGGAGGGCGTTCCTTCCTCCCTGTTTTTCGGGAAAACACCATGGTGGTTCAGACCAGGGTGACCATCCGCCCTGGTTAACGCCTGGTGTCTACGTATAATTACAAACAGCGCCCCTCTGACTCTCAGAAGTGTCGTGCTTTGGGTGACCTATTGTGTGGTCACCCTGGTCTGTGGCCTTTTCCAGTTCTGGAATTCTACTTTCACAACTTCCAAGCTACTGTTTTACCTTAACTGGGAAACTCAATTCATACCTTGACAAGTCTAAGGTACAAAGTAAAAGCAGAAATAACTTTTCTCCAGCCAAGAGTCTCCCAGGATAGCCCCAGGGCCTGGCGCGGCTGCCATGCCGTGCCACCTGCTGTCTTTCCCACCAGTGATGGGGCCACTGGTTTACCTGTTACCACCCATGACAGAAGGGCAGGTATCAGCCCCTCGGGTCCCCACTCATGAGATGAAACCGTGCGGGGCTGTCTAAGCGCCCGTGCTTACTACACACTCACACCGGTACAACTATTGCGGGACGCTGCCATCCGTGGAGGGGAGCATGAGGAGGGGTGGGACTAGGCTTTCCGGGAGTGGAGGGGTTTTGAGTGGAAAGGCACCAAGGAACAACACAATCTTAGATCGCCACGCTTCCCCTCTGCCCTGAGAATGGTTTCAGGAAGGCCGGTGCATGGGCAGACAGACCAAACCTTTCCTGCTCAGAGCCCTCATGCTGTCTGCTCAGACCCATTTAAGTACCGGTTACAACCAACAACACCACCTCCAGAGGCCGGGCGGGGGGGTCTTTAGGGGGAGGAGGAGAAGGAAAAGGGAAGTCCACAAGTTTGTGTCTGCTTGGACGCGGAGGTCAAAGCTCAGAGCCTGGTTAAGACCCAGAGCCAGCCCTTTTATCATGGAAATAGAAAGAGGGAAAGGCTGGTTAAACATGAAGCACCTATAAAATTATATTGGTCCATCGTAACCATGGAGCTCTCTCACAAACACACGCAAATCCGGCCACTCATCCCTTGCCCCTTGAGTGCCTTTTTATTTTCTATAATTAATCGGGCCAGGGAGGAACTTGGGAAAAGTTCAACCGTGGTCAGAATTTGCAGCCTTCTCTCTAGTAATAACCCACCGCGGGGCGGGGCGGGGATGGAGGCGCAGCTGTCGGTGTCCGGTTACCTGAAGCATGTTGAGGAGCAGGCTCCGGAACTTGGTCCCCTCCACCATGAAGAGCGCCATCTTGTCGCAGAGCTTGGCGGCGGTGAAGGCAAAGCTGCGGTCCGACACGGCCTTCTGGTAGATGGTCCGCACGATCTCGCCCAGCATCTCCTCGGAGTTGGTGGAGTTCTGGGCCTCCTCCATGAAGGTGGTGAGCTTGGCGTCCACGTCGCTGCTGTTGTTCCGCATGCTGTTCAGGATCTCGATCAGCTTGTCCATCTTGTTCTGCTGAGGGTTGGTGGTCTCCACTGTCACGTCATCCTGGGGGCAGGGGAGACAAACCGAGTGGCGCCTGAGCGGAGCTGAGGTCTGTGTGTGTGTGTGTGTGTGTGTGTGTGTGTGTGTGTGTGTGCGTGCGTGTGTGTGTGTGTGTTGCCTGTGGAGGGAGGGCTGCCACCCCCAGAAAGGACCCAGTCCTACCTTCTAGAACCTGAGGTCGGAGCCCTCCAGGAATGCTGACCTCCACCGAGGGCCGGGGGGCCCCCTGGCTCTCTGCTAACCTTTTCCTTGGCCCCTGTGACCTCCTGACCCCATCCTTCTAACAAGCTCTAGCGCTAACCCAGGAGTCTCACATATATTGGTTGTGTTTGTCTACTTGCCCATCACATGTCTCAATCCAGAAACGATTTAATGGGGCTTATAAAAGATGAAATAAGATGACAAATAAAAAATTAGGCCAAAGAGAAAACGAAGGCAGGAAGCGTAGGTCAGGAAGGAGGGTGGCATCCCAAATGCTTGCTGTGTTGGTCAGAGGTGCCCATGGAGTGGCTGTCAGACCCCCGGCTTCTACAGCCCTAAGGGCGGTCGTGTTCTCTGGGCATGGCCCTGGCTTCGTAGCCTATGGAGACTGGGCTGGCCTTCTACCCACCAGCACCCACACTGAGAAGTCCTCCCATGTGTCAGCCAAATGACTGGCACTTCTAGGAGAGAAATTTCAGACAGAAAAACCCACAAACCTATGAGGTTTCAATGCCACTGCGCCAGAGCGAGGCTGGATGAAGAAGAAAATGACATCCGACAGTCTCCAAAGTATTTACTCAGACACAATAGATTGGTGGCCAGAGTACGACCAACTTACCCGCCGGGATGTGAGGTAAGTTGGGGTGAACGCCAGGATCAGGGTCATAAAGTGAGGTCCCACACCTGCCCTGTTCTCAACAAGGAGGGCTCTGGGCTGGGAAGCACAGATGGGAGTTCTAGAACCTGCGGTCTGCCTCTAACCGTATGGCTTTGGGAAGTGGTTTCATTCTCTGGGCCTCAGTTTCCTCACTGGTAACATAAGGAGGTTATACTAGAAGGGCTTCCCCTGAACCCAACCATCGCCGGAGCCCAGGTCCTTCTGGTCCAGGATGCCAGGAGGCCTCAGCTGAGGTGTCCTGAACCAGTGTGCGGGTGCTATGGATCTACCTTATCTGTTCTATCCTACTCTCCTTCCCTACCCCATCACCCAACCATCTGGGCCCCAGGGCAGGAATAATGGTCTGTATATGGAATAATAACCACCTATGAGGGTCTTTACACATTATGACATTTAATCTTCATAGTTTGTCTGCAAGGTGGGTAACATTACACCCATTTTACAGGCAAGTAAACTGAGTCTCAGAGAGGTTAGGTGACTTGCTCAAGGTCATCCAAGCCAGTTATAGGCTGAGTGAGGACTGAGCCTGGTTTGCTGGACCTCAAAGCCCGTGTTATTTCCATTCTGTGGCACTGCAGTTAGGTTTAGTACAACTGGAGAGAACTGAGTTAATAATCCTCTCTCCCTGGCCAGGCTGTGGCAATCTGTCCTGGAAACTCTGCATGTGCAGACTACACACTGGTCATCAGTTGGGAACTTCCTCCAGGCTCCTTCCTTTGGGAGGTAAGGGAATGAGTGAGACTTTCCTCTAAAACCTCACAGCTGCCCGCCTCACAGGAGTGGTGGGGCGGGCAGCTCGGGCTGTGAAGGACGCCAGGAGCAGCATTTCAGCTTCAAGAGTTGATTGGGGAAGAGGTCTGATCTGTCTGTGTTGCCTAAGTGTGGAACCTGGGCCTGGACTCTGGGGCGAAAGGTGGGGGAGAGAAGGCAGTAGAGACAGGCTGGGGACAAACCCTGACGTGGAGCTTCCCAGAAGCCCTAAGAAGAGGACTCCACGGGGAAGGCTGGGAGCAAGTCAGCCTCTCTTGGGAAGTTCCTCTCCAAGGTGACCTTACCTGCAGCCTTGGCCAGGGAGGGGGAGCTACTAGGGTGAGCCCAGTGGAGTTAATGCTGCCAGAGAGAGATCCCCACCCCTCCTCTGAAGGCTCGAGGGCATTTCCTCCAGTACGTGACCCAGGCCCTAGAGACCAGGGCCAGGAGTAGGGTGAGAAAAGAGAGGTTCCTGGGGCACAAAGTTTAAGGAGGCCCTCACTCTCAAGGCCATGCCAGGGCAAGGTCAGCACCTGTGTGATGCTGGGAGCGAGGGCTTCCTTAAATGTTGTCCCTTAGACCCCTCACTGGCCGCTGGTTGATCGAAGACGGGAATGGCAAGGCTGAGGCCTGCCTGCACTCTGCCCAACTCACCTTTGCTCTCGACCCTGGCAGGGACCACAGCCTGGCTGGTAATCACCTCCAGGAGAAGCGTCATCAGTCCTTATAAGCTCCATGTTGTCCCCCAAAGCCCTTTAGCATTAACAGGGCCGTCTTCCCCTACGCTGCTCCCCTCACCCCCAGGGTTGTGCTTTTCCCTTTCCTCCTCTCTTAGGCTGGGCGCTGGTACCAAGTGCCCACCTGGGCCTCTTAGGCTGGGCGCTGGTACCAAGTGCCCACCTGGGCCTCTTGAGGGGCCAGAATATGAGGAGTGGGAATGTGCTGGAGAGGTTCACGCAGAGCTGGCCATGGGCCCGCCCTCTGGTGGCCAGGTGTCCCTAAGGCAGCGGTGGCCTGGTGTGGCGGGTCCTGCTTCCTCCCCACAGCTTCCCAGGCCCTCCAACCCGAGCCCACCTACCAACGTGCCTACCTCGCGCCATCCTCCCTGGTGCAAGAGAACAACAAAAATTCAATTACCGGTACCTTTTCTTTCAGCCTCCGCCGCAGCCTGTCTTTGGAAGACTGGAGTAGGGTAATTTTGGGCCGCTCCCCCATGCGTTCGGGAATAATACTGTCTTTACGCTTTGTCTCGGCCTCTGGGACCCCTGGCTGCTGTGGGGGCAGCCTCTCGGAAACCACTGGGGCCAGGCCATCAGGGATGCAGGGGGACTCGAGGCTGCTGTGCCCGGTGTCCCCCAGGGTGTCCTCAAGTTTGGGGCTCTCCATGGTCATGGTGTCTTTGGCATTGCGGTGGGCGCCTGCCTCCCCCTTGTCGCTGGGTGGGTGCTTCATGTTGCTATGGTGCCAGCGCCGGTTCTGGCTGTAGCCGTGATGGGTGGGCCTCCCCGAGGGATGGGGCACCGAGCCCCCTTGGTAGGATTTCTGGTGGTCCCTGTTGTGTTTGGCACTGCCTGGCTGGTGGTCACTGTGCTGTTGGGGCTTGTTTCCTCCTGGAGGTCTCTGCTGCCGTCTGCAAACCAAAGGGGAATGACAGAGAGGGTCACTAGGTGGGCTGTTCAGGGTCCCTGCGTCCAAACACTAGAAGAGGAATTCACTGAGTTGTTCATTTATTCATGCTTTCAACACCCTTACGGAGCGCCTCCTGTGTGACAGGCTCTGTGACAGGGCCTGGGGATACAGCACAGAATGAGACAGACAGGCCCCGGGATTAAAGAGGATTTAAGTCAATCCTTAACTTAAGCATTTTATTCCCCTGTTAGAATATGCATTAATACAGGTGCGGGGAACAAAATTAAAGAGATACAATAGAGTACATCATGAACCCTCCTGACTCTGTCCCCGGCCACCTACTATGTCCTCTTAAAGCAACTGTTACCATTTTATGAATCTCCTGAACACACATTCTATGCATGTTTCAGCAAAGACACACACACAGAGCTTCATCCAATAACAACTATCCTGTCAATGACTTCTTACCATAATGGCTCTTAAAAAGTTAAACTTTTTTTTTTCTTTCCCTGCACATTGCCATGTTATCCCCAAGCTTATTAACAAAATATGCTATAATAAATTGGGCTGAATTGTGTCCCCCTCCCCCTGCCAATTCATACGTTGAAGCCCCAACCCCTGGTATCTCAGAAAGTGACTGTATTTGGAGATAGGGCCTTTAAATATGTGATTAAGCTAAAAGGAGGCCGTTAGGATGAGGCCCATCAATATGACTGGTGTCTTTATAAGAGGAGATTAGGACACAGACATGTCCATGTGCAGAGGAAAGACCATGTAAACACAGGGCAAGAAGGTGGCCATTTGCAAAGCAAGGGGGTGGCCTCAGGAGAAACCCAACCTGGTGACACCTTGATCTTGGATTTCCAGCCCCTAGAACTGCAAGAAGATTAAGTTTCTGTTGTTTGGCCACCCAGTCTGTGCTATGTGGTTATGGCAGTCCAAGCTAATACAGAAGTGATATCTAATTTGATGGTTTTAGGCAAAGACAGGCTCATCGATTTACTTGACAAAATACTTTCTAAGCAGAGGACATCATATGGAGAAAATCTGAGGTCTACACCATAGGACAAACCAAATATTTTGATTTGTGGACTGAAGGCAAGCGAGTTTGGGGGTGGGGGAGGGGTATTCTAAGGACCCTTCAGTCTGTGCACAAGGGGCCCCTTTGTCTTCCATCTCTTGTTCACCCTCAGTGTTTTCTGTGCCATCACTTTATCTGATGTAAGTTGGAGAACAAGGTAACCACGAGCCCCTCAAAAGTTGTAAAGTCAGTGAAGAAAGTTTGCAGAAAGAAGACCTTACCTTCTAAAAAACGAGGCCCACACTGTCCTGTGACCCATCTCATTAGCAGGGATGAGAGCCCTTCCTCGTATTGTATTTTATGACCAAATTGTATTTATTTTCTTTCAAATGATCATTACTTATAGAAACTCAATGTCAATGTTCACTTGATAAATTTTGTGTATCTGTGAAAATTTGGGGGTATCTTGGGTTGGGGTTAAATGTATCATTTTCCCATTAAAATTAACGAAAGCATTTTTTTTTTTCATTGAAAAGCTTTCCCTAAGTTGGCAGGGTTTTCAGGGGGGAATTAAAGTTGTAAAGTGAGAGACAGGTGGGTAGTCTTCTTTTTGTTTCTGAACAAATAGAAACTTGCAACACATTGTATGTTAGAGGTAGAAATTAGTATGTCTGGAGAAAAATTTGACAATTTGTTACAAGAGCCTCTAAAACATGCAAACCACTGGACCTTGCGATTCTGCTTGTGGCAATTTAAGAAGAAAATCATCAGAGACACCCATGGGGTGTAGGCTGTTCATGGGGTGTAGGATGTTCAACCCCCAGTGTTTACAACAGTGAAGAGCTGAATGTGAACTTAGCAAGAACATGGTGAAAGAGTTCACTCTTGTTGGTGGAAGAACGCATGTGTTGTAATACGTCTGCACAGGGCTATCTTTTAAGGCATGTATTTATACGCATAGAAGAATTATATGCATAGAAGAATCTGGAAGGACACACACCAGCATGTTAACAGTGATGATCATTTTCTTTTTTAGTTGTGTTTTCTAAATGAACATGGATTTGTTCTTCTATACTTTTTATTGGGAGGTAACTATAGATTCATGTGCCGTTGTAAGAAATAATACAGAGAGATCTTTTGTAGCCTTTACCCAGGTTCCTCGCAAGGTAACATCTTGCAAAACTGAAGTACAAGATCACACAACCGGGATTTTGACAAGTCAAGACACAGAGCATTCCCATCACCACAAAGATCCCTCATGTCGCCCTTGTATAGCTACACCCACTTCTCTCTCACCACCTCCTCTTCAGCCCCCGGGAACAACTAATCTAGGCTCCATTTCTACGATTTTGTCATTTCAATAATGTTATATAAATGGAATCGTACAGTATGTAACCCAGTGGGATTGGCTTTTTTCACTCAGCATAACTCCTGGAGATTCATCCGGGTGGCCGTGCGTCTCCATTGTTCATCCCTTTTTGCTGGTGACGAGTAAGTATTCCACAGTGTGGGTGCATTTCACCATGTACCCGCTGAGGGCCATCTGGCTGCTTCTGGCCATAGGCTATCAGGCAGAAAGCTGCTAGGACCACGTGTGTACAGGTTTTTGTGTGGACACGGTTCTCATGTCTCCGAGATAAATGCCTGGGAGCACCATCGCTGGGCAGTAAAGGTAGTTTCTTCTTTTTTTTTTTTTTTTTAATGGGGAATTGGGGGAGGGGAACAGCACTGGGGAATCAGGGGAAGGGGAACAGACAAGTTGCTGTTGTTTTGTTCTTCAGTGTAGTTGTAGAGGATGTTGCTTCACTGGCCCAAGCGGGCACCATCATTACGCTCTTCCTGGACAAGGCAGATCAGTCGCCGGCCTCTGGACGGCCGCTCACGCTGGCTGCTGGCTACACACAGTAGCCCATGGCAACCCACTGCAGCAGGGGCTGCAGCCTATGCTGTCGCTGGCGACTCACAGCAGCCCAGCTCCAGGTTGAGCTGTTGTTCACCATCTTAGCTGTAGAGGGCAGTGTCACTGGCCCTCATATGTGGGACGAACCGGGGCCCTGCTGCTCAGAGCTGACGTCCCAAGCCAGTTCTTAACCAACGTGCCACTCGGCCGGCCCCCGTAAAGGTAGTTTCAAATTGAGCTTTTTAAGAAACTGTTGAACTGTTTTCCAGAGAGGCTGTGTGCCATTTTCCATTCCCATCAGCAACGCATGAGAAGTCTGCAACCATGATGTCTTCGGGTAACGTTTCAGCCCCACCTTCCTCCTCCTCTAGCTTCTGGACTCTGAGAACATGTGTGTTAGATCTGCCGTTATGGTCCCCCGGCTCTGAGAGGCTCAGATCATTCTTCTTCAGTCTGTTTTCTCTCTTGAGGCTCAGACTGGATCATTTCTGCTGCTCTACCTTCCAGGACACTGGTTTTTGCTTTGCCCCCTCCATTCTGCTGTTGAGCCCATCCATTGAGCTTTTAGCTCTTTCCAGTTGGTTTTTTTGTTATATCTTCTATGTCTTTGCAGAGATCTATTTTCCATTTGTTTGGAGTGCGTTCCTAATTGCTCCTGGAAGCATTTTTATGCTGGCTGCTTTGAAATCTTAGGTAATTCTAATATTTCTGTCATCTCAGTATTGGCATCTATTGTCTTTCTTCATTCAGTTGCGATCTTTCTGGGGTTTTGGCATGACAAGAGGTTTTCAGGTGAGACCTGGGCATCTTGGGTCTTGTTATGAGGCTCTGGACTTAATCCGACCTTCTGTTTCAGCTGCTTTCCTCTGAACCTTGCTCCAGTGGTAGTCAGGGCTGCACTGCCTCCCGGCTGCCAGGCGGGAAGTACGGGTCAGGTTCCCCACTGCGTCTTCTTTGACACCCCAAGTGGGGTCCTCCTTACTTCTGGGCAGGGTGGGAGTCTGCTCCCCACACTGACACCTCCCTGGGTGCTGCACTGTTGCTCTCCACCTGGCCTCCACTGACACAGAGAGGGGGTGCTCCATGCCCCACAGGGATGAGTCCCAGCTCCCCATTCAGCCTCTCTGACACCACCCTGGTGGGGGGTTTGGGTGCCTCGTCATACCCTGGCCAGGAAGGTGGAATCTCAGCCTCTCACTTGGCCTTTGTTGGTATGGGTGGGGGTGGAGCCAGTATTTTCTGGGGCACTTGCCTGGAATAGAGCAGACTTTTGTTGGGGCTTTTTGAGTCTGCCTGTGCCTACTGGCATTTTGGATTGCTAGCTGCTTTAGCTCCAAGTCTGGGATCAATAAGGCCAAGAAGAAGACTCAAGCACGTCACCACTGTGTCATTCCTCAGGTGCCAAGGTCCCCAACCAGTCTGCCTTTTCTCCACCTTTTGCAGTCCTCTTATGTTTGTTTTTATATATAACACCCAGGGTTTTTAGTTGTCTGTATTTTAATAATTTAAGAGTCATTATAGAAACATCTATAGCAGCCCGGTACGCTGAACTGAGTCCTACTGACTGGGGGTGAGGCTTGTGTGGTGTTTTTCATCCTTGTTTTCTGGGTTCAATCTCGTTGAGTTCTGAAATACATTTCTGGTGTGAGGGCCTCGCTGCCCTGATATTTGATGGAAGAGGCAGTCCCTGCATCTACTTCATTTTTTTTTTTTTTAAGGAGGGTGCAGCTCAAAGTGGCCCATTCAGGGATTGAACTGGCAACCTTGTTGTTCAGAGCATACGCTCTAACCAACTGAGCCACCAGCCGCCCCAGTTCCTGCATCTAAATACTCCATGCCACACTGGCATGCCTAAAACACACGGTTTCATTCTCTGATGGTCTCCTAATGACAGGAATCATCAATGGGCCTAAGCCTTTAAGTTCTGGAAGATGGTCGGTTTTTCAGGGTTTGTCAGCATGGGCGTCCGCGGAAGAGTTGGGCTTCCTCAGCACAGTGAGTCATTATGCCAGTTTCCTCCCAGAGATCACCAATGGGCCAGGGAAGAAATTCCACAGCCCACAGCTCCCCAGGGTGCCTT